TAAATCAAATGCTAAAATACTGTAACCTTTGGCAAGTGAATACCAGTCCCCGAGAATATAGTATGATATGCTGATGTAAATATATTATTATTAAAAGATGATTGCAAAGTTTTGGAAGGTATTTGTTGACCATCAATATGTAAGCTGAAAGAGTTAATACCGTTGTTTTCAAAGTTAAATGGATTTATAGTAAATGAACCATTAAATGCGAAATTATTCACAAAACCAATAATAGGGGTTGAATTTGTTAAAATTTATATCTATGAATTTAATGTGATTAAGACTCCAAACACTATCTTTTTTTTCGAATTGACAAATTTTACCGACTACAGTGTCTATTAGTGATGAATAAAAACTATTTAAGTCATCTCCCTGACAAAGTGTGTAATTAAACGTTTGAAAATCAAACGTATTTTTAATATCTTTGGTTTTTTGTATGAAATCAGCATGCAATATGAAGTTTATTTTAAAAATTGTATGTTGTTGAATACATTCATTTATCAAAAATAAGATATCGGTTTTTAATGAGTTCAAAAACGATTCCGGTGTTTCAAAATATTGTCCCGATTGTTGTGTTTTACTATTAATTCTATATGTTAAAATTCGATTGCCAAAAGCGGTTTCAACAACTGTAACATTTGTTAATGAACTATGTGATTTTAAAAGATTAAATTTATGTGTATCGCTTTTTAAATGATTGTTTAGATACCTCCTATTAATATAAACATGACATGTATCACATTTCACCTTATTGTTGTCCACTTCGTTGATTTCAATTGATGATGTAGAAGCTCCATCATTAAATTTTGCTTTCTTGGTAACGTTATTGTCATCGGTAGTGATACCTCGTTTGATACCTCTTTCAACTTGTTGTTGACTGTAACAAATAAGAAAAAATATTAGACAAATCTTAAAATAAAACATTAATACAATAATATTTCTTATTGAGTTTGTACTTCTAATACTTACATCAACGTTGTTTCAACCATCAAACATTGATTATACAACTCATCATCGTACGATGAATCGAACAGTTCATGCTTCTCTATTTCATCACAAACTTTACACAGCTCCTGATTGAATTCACTGTTGAATTGTTCTATATTCTCTTCAATAGGTGCGGAAAAGAAAGCACTGGTGCATATTTCACTGAAGACTTCCATTTTTATTATAAAGATGAAAGTATGTAGCACAGTAAGTAACAGTTAAGTGTTGGTAGAGCAACTGATACCCAATTTCAAATAATGTCCAATATTTATAGTCTAGCAAAGCATTAGGAAAGTCATTTAAAATCTAATGAGTACACAGAAGTACTTTAAGTAAACAGAAAATATCATTAGTTAATATACTCATTAGTTTATCTATCCTTAATTTGTATTTAATATTTACAAATCACTATAATTGAACATTCCTATGACAACCATTAAATAGATTGGTACTGTAATAATCTGTTAATAACAGTGATATCATGGATACACTAGAATTACAAAAGCATATGAAAAAGATTCATCCTATTCTAGAAAATAATGTTTATGCTGCTAATAGACTACCTATGTATGTCGCGGAGAACCTAATGGGTTACCGAGGCTCCGGCACGACGTGAAGGAGAAGGAATGGGGTGGTTTTTAGTCAGTAAGAGTCTGACACTCCCTCCCGCCTCGCCCAGGCGGAAGCAGTGGTTCTATGATTTTCCCCCCTTAAAAAAATACTACCTATGTATACACATGTACCAACGTATATAATATGCAATTTGGATGCGGATGATAAACCAGGGTCACACTGGGTAGCTGTACATATCGATGCGAATGGCATCGGTCAATATTTTGATTCATATGGATGAACACCTGAGCAATACCATCTCCAGTTTTTGAAAAGGAGTTGTAAGAGATGGGACTGGAATGTTGATAGGATTCAGAATGATTGGACTTCAGTTTGTGGCGAATATTGCTATAATGTATTTGCTATTTAAAGTCGACTGGCACCGTAATGACTACTATCGTTTGCGCTGCAGCACTTATACACACATGCACACGTATATTTATCCGTGTGAGTGATGTTCACACGGCTGTACGTAAGTAATTTCATATTAATGTGCATAAAAACATTCGTCCATCACGCACACATTGGTATTTAATATAACCTATCTTAGTGACGGTATACGTATTAATTCATTGAATAAGTCTAAATAAAAATGAGGGTAAAGATAAAAATAATATGTAACCCAAACATTGAATAAATCGAATAATGAACGATCGGGCTACATACTATATAATCATACTAATAAATACAATATATACATAGTATATAGTTTTGAATGACATCAAGCATTTCACACCGGACTGCAGAAACGTGATCAGAGCATGGCAAAATCTTCTTTTTAAGATGCCAGAACCCGCGTATCCCCACTACTGGTGTGTAGTATACACACTTGTAATTGTTGTATCATCATGAAACTTGGCAATTCGGTAGTTTCCAGGGTATCAAAATTAAAAATCGAATTAGTCCGTCAGTTAGACAATGAAAAAATATTAGACACGTATTTTTTTATTTTCTCGTATTAAGTTGCAATACTTAGATAAAATGGCGTTAAGTTTGGGAGTGGGAGGTCGTTACGTCATAACGTGCTACAAAATGTGGCACGCTGTGACGTCTCACGATATTTCAAATTAATATATCGTCGAAATTATTTAATTTTGTGAGAAAAGTAAAAATACGTGTCTAAAGTTAATGTAGTTACCAGACGGACAATCTTAATTTTATGACATTTCTAATTTATTTTCTGACTTTACCTGTTTTAATTTATTTGAATTGTTTCCAATAATAATAATACTAATTTCAATATAATTGTTCTTTAATTAGACATAAATTAATACTGTTAATACAATTTTATATTTCTACACCGGTAACGGTAGTATGTGTGGAACTTTGTTAATTTTAAGATCTTTGTGCACCATGTACTGAGAAATAAAAAACATTCATTGATTCATCGACTTGCGCCTACCCAATCAGTGATCTAAAAGGTATACCTAATAATATTTCCCCATGACGAGAACCTCGTGAAAGCTGAGAAAGATAAACAAATAAAATATCTAGACTTAGCTCACGAGGTTGTCGACATGTGGAGTGTGGATTCGGCTATCATTGTGCCGATAGTCGTGTCGGCCAATGGGTTAATCCCTAAAAGCCTCGACATCCATCTTAGGAGGCTGGCGTTAGGTGGATGGCTCAAGGGCCTGATACAGAAGGCAGTTCTCCTAGAAACAGCACGTATCGTGAGGTTTCTAACCACCGGTAGCTTGAACTATGCTCCCGCTACTGGTCGGCTCCTATTTTTGTATTTTCCAATATTATTTTCTTTTGTTTTTAGTAGTAGGTATTTTAAAATGCAATTTTATACCAGGGATGCCAACTTGATGACTGCCTCGTTGGCCGAGTGGTCGCAAGTGCGACTGCCGGGCAAGGGGTCTCGGGTTCGATTCCCGGGTCGGGCAAAGTATTACTGGGTTTTTAAAAAAATCTCAGTAGTAGCACGGAGTCTGGAATTGTGCCCGGTATATGGCAATAGGCTCACCCCCTATTACATGGGACTCATAACATAAATAGTGAAAAGTGGGTGTTACATTGTACAGTGGCATTAAGTGCCGAAATGTGCACCTCTGCCTACCCCTTCGGGGATAAAAAGGCGTGATGTTATGGATGGCCAACTTGGTTAGACTTAAGATCGATTTTCCGACGACACCTAGTACGATCTACCAATTACATTATAACTTAAAATCTGAAACGAAACAGCATAATTCGTACACAATTATGTAGTGAACTTTTATTTTACATAACATAACATCACGGCTTTTTATCCCCGAAGGGGTAGGCAGGTGCGCACAGAAGTAACACCAACTTTTCACTATTTATGTTATGAGTCCCATGTAATAGGGGGTGAGCCTATTGCCATATACCGGGCACGATTCCAGACTCCGAGCTACTACTGAGATTTAAAAAAAACCCCAGTAGTACTTTGCCCGACGCGGGAATCGAACCCGAGACCCCTTGCCCAGCAGCCGCACTAGCGACCATTCGACCAACGAGGCAGGCACTTTTATTTTATTATGAGAATAAAGAAAAAAGGATAAAAAAGAGAGAAGAAAATATAGAACTACAAATTATTCTTGGTCATATTATTGCAGTTGGTAAAATCATTGTACTTTTCTATTAAGAAAAAACCCTGTAATTAAATAAAGATAAAAAAAAATGTGTTCTATGTATGTACGTATTAAAAATTTTTTAATGGCCAAGATCGCCTGGATTTATAATCGATCGACTGGTTGGCTACCCATGTTTTAGAGTATTTTAAATAAAACCAATCATATATCAAAATGATTTATTTATTACAATTACAAATGCAATCATTATCATTTTCAATACAAAAATACAGTATAACAAACACAACTTACAATAATTATAATATTAACATTGGAATCACATAAGTTACGTTCCACGGCCAGCCATTGGATGGGTGACCGTTGTATAACATCAACGGTTAACGTTACAAAGTTTATTAAGTAGTTTAAAGTTCGACAGCAACATTCTGCTGCACAGCGTGTCGCGGGTTCGATTCCCACGCGGAAAAAAACATTGTGTTTTAATTTTATGGGGTCCACAAACGAGCAGACGAATCACCTGATGGTAAGCAACCGGCGCCACACATGGACACCCGCAACACAAGAGGCGTTACAAGTGCACTGATGATGCTTTGGAGGTTAGGAATTTCAGGATTAAGAAATTTGGGGATTGGGGAGATTGGAGGGAGAGGAAGTTGGGCTTCCGATAACCTCATCACACGACGAAACTCAACGTAAGAGTTGTACTAATCCCCAAAAGGCCGGTAACGCACTTGTAACGCCTCTGGTCCAGGTGTCCATGGGCGACGCCGATCGCTTTCCATCAGGTGATCCGTCTGCTCGTTTACCGGCTTATCCCATATAAATACAGCAGCAATTTAATGTCTAATTTAAGTAGTCAGACACCCACGGTTTCATATCTGGCGTATATTTTACAGGAGGCAAGTCATATGGTATTACTAAAGACTTTGGACGCGGTCTGACTTCACCCTGGTCAAGAAAGAAGTAATCTTCGTCTATCTGTAATAAAAAAAAATCATATAAAATTAAAACTGCCTCGTTGGCCGAGTGGTCCCGGGTCGGGTATTACTGGGTTTTAAAAAAAAAATCTCAGTAGTAGCACGGAGTCTGGAAATGTGCCCGGTATATGGCAATAGGCTCACCCCCTATTACATGGGGCTCATAACATAAATAGTGAAAAGTGGGTGTTACCTCTGTGTGCACTTCGGCCTACCCCTTCGGGGATAAAAGGCGTGATGGTATGTTATGTATAAATTTAAAATTAAAACAAGCCTTTATCCACTAAATCCACGATAGCAAAAATCTATGAAAAGTTTAAGGTCTCTGCAAACAGAGGGCGCAGCGCGGCTGGACGGGCCGGCGACGCGACACTGAACAGTAGTAATGTACTAGATATTACGGACGACGACACACAGAGCGGTCGGGGCCCGTCGCGTCCAGCGGGACGGGTCTGTCACATCACACACAGACACGGAACAACCATTTGTGGATCACACAAAGAGTTGATCCGTGCGGGAATCGAACCCGCTACCCGTTGCACGGCAGCCAGTTGCCCAGCCACCACGCGTGTACATATATATGTATGACTGTATATATAATTATATATATACACATACATCCAATAGCTATACCATAATTTTTTTTCATCAAGGGGGAAAATCATCGTATGACTGCTCCCGCCTGGATGAGGCGGAAGGGAGTGTCAGACTCTTACTGACTAAAAACCACCCCGTTCCTTCTCCTGCACGTCGAGCCGGAGCCCCGGTTACCCGTTAGGTTCTCCGCGACTCCGAATCGGCATCGGCCCTGTTGGGCCCCATCGCGCCGTACGCTCGGGTCTGTTTCTGGTCGGACGGGGAGCCACCCATGCTCGCCGTCCGCAGGCCCGCGCTTACGGTGGCCGGAGATCGTCCCGCGATCCCCGACGCCCGGTGTGTCCTTCGCGATGGCTGGGTTGCGAGGAGGCAGCGCTTCGCTGCCTCACGCGTCCCGCCTCCTCCTTAGCTAGCATGACTGCTTCGCAAAAGGAGGAGACGGCATCCCAGTCCCCCTCGCTCCGCATCATGGCCTGCACTAGGCCCGGACGCGAGAGGTCGCCATCGCCGATCACTTCCCTGAGGGCACGGCGGTGCTCAGCCCACGCAGGGCATTCCGCTACGGTGTGTTCCACCGTGTCCTCAGGGCGGTCCTCGCAGTTATATCATAAAACGTTGCCCCACATTAGGATTTTCTCCTGTGTCGTGGGTGCGTTTACAAACATACAAGTTCACATACACAATGACACCCAGACCCGAAACAACAATTTGTGGATCGCACAAAGTGTTGTCCGTGCGGGAATCGAACCCGCGACACGTTGCACGGCAGCCGGTTGCCCAGCCACCGCACCAACCGTGCAGTCGTATACGCGATATAATGTCGCGGAGAACCTAACGGGTAACCGGGGCTCCGGCTCGACGTGCAGGAGAAGGAACGGGGTGGTTTTTAGTCAGTAAGAGTCTGACACTCCCTTCCGCCTCATCCAGGCGGGAGCAGTCATACGATGATTTTCCCCCCTTAAAAAAAGAAAAAAAAATACGCGTTATAATATATGTATAATAGCGTATAAAATAGTACTATACACATACACACCCAAGTAAAAACTAAATAACATAAAAATATGTTATATATTATAGATACCTTGCTACTTACCACAAATTTAGGTAGAAACAGAACTCCGGCCTCATAGCTCATGATCCTTAAGGCGCCATTCCCCTTATTCACTTGCCCCCAAGCCGCCTTACTGATATTGGCCGAAGTCAGGAGATAGAACGCCGCCTTGCCATTTGACACTCGCGTATACGACTTTATATGCGGCATCGCTTGGTTTCTGCTTGATATCTTCGCCTGCCATTGACTGAAAAAGATATATAATATATAACACTAGCTTTTACCCCCGGCTTCGCTCGCGTCACAAAAAGATAAAAAGTAACCTGTGACATATACCAATACATACAGCGCCATCTATACCAATACTTTTGTTTTCCCTCGGGAATACCAAAATTTTCCGGGATAAAATGTACCCTATTATTTAATCCGGACTTCTAATTTTACGTCTGCAAAAATTCAAAGCAATCGGTTTAGTAGTTACGGCGTGAAAGTGGAACAAACAAACAAACTCACTTTCCGATTTATAATATTATAGTAAGGATTACATAACATCACGTCTTTTATCACCGAAGCGGTACACAGAGCACATTACTTATTAAGGCACTTAATGACAAAGTCAAAGTCGAAGCATTTGTTTCAATTAAACCATAGTTTGGTACTTTTGAAACGTCAACAAATACAAAATAAATAATAGTCTGTCAGTCAGTCCGTCAGTGAAACTAGGTGAAGCTAGGTGCTCATTCCAAAATGTAGATTCGAATGGAGAAGAACGAACAAGAAACTCCATTCGTTACTCTTTTTAAAAAAGTATGTTCTGTACAGTATAACACCCACTTTTCACTATTTATGTTATGAGTCCCATGTAATAGGGGGTGAGCCTATTGCCATATACCGGGCACAATTCCAGACTCCGTGCTACTACTGGGATTTTTTTAAACCCATGACGGGATAACCGGATGACGGAGTATGAAAATTAAAAATCTAATTAATCCGTCAGTTAGGTAATGAAAAAATATTAGACACGTATTTTTTTATTTTGTCGTATAAGAAAACAATAAAACGTCATTTCTACGTATAAAATGTACATAGAAGTGACGTCACGCCACATTTCAAATCAATATATCTTCGAAACTATTCGTTTCCTTAAGAAAATAAAAAATACGTGTCTAATGTTTTTGAATAATCTACCAGACGGATATTTAAATAAAAATTAGTCATCTACCCAATTTTATGACGACAGAAGTTAATCCTAGTGTGGGGCAACGATTTTATAATAAAAGTAAATTTATACTGCCTCGTTGGCCGAGTGGTCGTAAGTGCGACTGCCGGGCAAGGGGTCTCGGGTTCGATTCCCGGGTCGGGCGAAGTATTACTGGGTTTTAAATATTCTCAGTAGTAGCACGGAGTCTGGAATTATGCCCGGTATATGGCAATAGACTCACCCCCTATTACATGGGACTCATAACATAGATAGTGAAAAGTGGGTGTTACATTGTACAGTGGTATAATGTGCACCTCTGCCTACCCCTTCGGGGATAAAAGGCGTGATGTTATGTAAATGAATACTTACTACAAGAAGTTATTCAGCCACGGTTGCTTAGCATGTACATCCCCCGCGTACGGCAGGCATCCGCCGCCGAGCAAATTGTCGTGCGACTGACGGACATTCTCTGTGAATATCATCAAGCATGTCTTTACATTGTTCTCACATATATGTACCTACAATATCTTAATATATATAAATCTCGTGTCACAATGTCTGTCCTCAATGGACTCCTAAACCACTTAACCGATTTTAATATAACAATTACACTTCTTCATCATCAGACCCTTAATGACAGCCCCACTCTATATAGGTGTAAAGTCCTCATCAATACAAATAAATCAAGCCCAAACACAAGGTAGTTAATATAAACCGCTGAGGAGATCCCTCGACTGTCTATTGACTCCATCATCAGGTCGACTCCAGACCCTTATCAAATTGTAGTGTTTAAAAATCGTAATCGAAAAACATAATAGACGCATTACTCGCCCATAGAATTCTCGAAAGTTACCCTAGGATCCCATCATCAGATCCTGACCTAATGTAAATGGGACCATCTCGGGAGTATACCCTTTCAAACAAAACAAGAATTTTCGAAATCGGTTCACAAACGACGGAGTACTGCGCGAACAAACAAAAAAAAAAACTATCAGCCGAACATAGTACCTCCTCCTTTTTTTGAAGTCTGTAAAAATTCGCACACCATGTGTAGTTCGATCCAACATGAGAGATAGGATAGTTTAAATCTCAAATTATAGTCGCAATTTTAATTTATTGCTAATTATTTGTCTGTTATTATTTGACAGTCACAATTATCTGTTAACTCCAAATGATTCTAACAGATGTCGATACCTTTCGACTGGGTTGAGTAAGTAATCAATAGATTGCTATGGGGTTTTTTTTAATAGAAGGAGTGATTCTTAAGTTAGGTTAATATGTGTAATGCATGCATATTGCACCCGTGCGAAGCCGGGGCGGGTCGCTAGTTGGATAATATATCAGAGAGATTGTAAAACATATTTTCTTAAAAGAGTAATGAATGGAGTTTCTTGCTCGTTCTTCTCCATTTGAATTTTGTGTGAGAGAGCCATGCTTCGTTACGAATGGGCCGGCTCGACCGGAGTGATACCACGGTCGAGCAGAAAACCGACGTGAAGCAACGATTGTGTCGTGTTTCATCGTGTGAATGAGGTTACCGGAGGCCCAATTATCCCCCTCCCATTCCCCAATCTCCCCAATCCCTCAATCCCCAACGATCCTCAAATTCCTAATCCTTAAAATGCTGGTAACGCACTTGTAACGCCTGTGGTGTTCTAGGTGTCCATGGGCGACGCCGATTGCTTACCATCAGGTGATCCGTCAGCTCGTTTGCCGTCTTATCCCATAAAAAAACAATAGGTACATATTTTTTTTTAAATAACGACCGGAATTTCTTACTTGTTCTTCTCCATTCGAATCTACATTTTGGAATGAGCACCTAGCTTCACCGAGTGACGGACAGACTGACAGACTATTATTTATTTTGTATTTGTTGACGTTTCAAAAGTACCAATATATATATATATATATATATTTCTTTCTTTTTGGCAACGGACTCTCCAATACAGTGTTGTCGACTTACCAAAATATGGTTTAACTCGTCGAGTATCGTATTTATAGACACAATTAAATAACAATAGGTCGCGGTCACCGGTGACCTCGAGGTGTTTGACAAAGTCAAAGCATTTATTCTAATTAAACATTAGAATAAATGCTTTGACTTTGGACTTTGACATCACAACCGTCAAAAAAACTTTGAAACATTTTTAACATTGACATTTGATTTAGACATTTCACTTAAAAAATTGACTTTAAAATTGACTAGAGTTACCTAAAGACGGGTAAATAATCTTCAATTCCGGTGGAGACGACAAAAGCTGTGACTGATTCTTGATTTTTGTAAAATTGTGCAGAAAGTCCCCAGTCAACCATAGCTGCAAGCAAATATAGACCTTATCAGTTACTTCGGCTGACTGCATCGTTGGCCGAGTGGTCGCAAGTGCGACTGCTGGGCAAGGGGTCTTGGGTTCGATTTCCGAGTCAGGCAAAGTAATACTAGGTATTTAAAATAATTCTCAGTCGTAGCACGGGCTCTGGAATTGTGCCCGGTATATGGCAATAGGCTCACCCCCTATTACATGGGACTCATAACATAAATATTGAAAAGTGGGTGTTACATTGTACAGTGGTATTAAGTGCCGTAATGTGCACGTGTCGCGGAGAACCTAACGGGTAACCGGTGCTCCGGCTCGACGTGCAGGAGAAGGAACGGGGTGGTTTTTAGTCAGTAAGAGTCTGACACTCCCTCCCGCCTCACCCAGGCGGGAGCAGTCATTCGATGATTTTCCCCCCTTAAAAAAAATACCATAAAAACATATTTAAAACATACCTTAGGGTCCTTCCCATAGCTCCCAATACTACTAGCTTGGGCTATTAGGGGCCAATTCTTGGTCTCCTCAGGGGGTATGCAGCAATGTTGCCTCAACAGTGACCCCACTCGGGTCATACCCCAGTCGTTGTCGAAATGTGACCCCGGCACTGAAGCTACTAGGAATACGCTGAAACATTAAATAAATAACATCAACAGCCTATAAATGCCCACTGCTGAGCAAAGCCTCTTCTCACACCGAGAAGGTTTCAGCATTAATCACCACGCTTGCTCAATGCGGGTTGGCGATTTAAACTTATAATTAGAAATTATAAGTCCAGATTTCCTCACGATGTTTTTTCTACACCGTTTGTCAGTGGTGTCTATACTCCGTCTGTTTAGGTAGTTAACTATTTGTAAACAAACCATAAAAAGAGTTATTTATAGTTGACATTTCCATGATTCAAAATACTATTATAAGAAAATAAAATTGTTTCCCTTTTTACGACAGTTTTCTCTATTAAATGTTATGTTTCTGTTCCTTTTCACTTATTTCTTAGTAAATATTATATATATCTGCTTGAGGATATTAATTTAATAACATTTATTAAATAATATAATATTTCATTACAATAGACACCATAAAGAGCCTAAAATCCCAGGTATCCAAAACCTTTCTTTAAGAACGAAGCATTAGATAATGTTGTCAAATTAAAGAGTACAACTAAGATGTAGCGCGACAATGAAAGTAGCGTGTATTACGTTTAGTCGGTTAATCAGGCGCCATTGACAGCTCTCTCGTCGTTTGCGCTCGCGTTCCTATTTTGTTGAATTTATCTTGTTTCTTTGTTTTGTTTTTGTTATTAAGTTATTTAAGTTTAGGTTATCCATCGTTTGTAATTAATGTGTTCAAATATATTGAAGAAACTTGGCCCAAAGACATATCCGTACAAGAAAGAAATCCGTACATCAGATTCAGAATAGTTTCTATTTAAACATGATAATGAAATAGACCCATAGGCTAGGCTCTTGTACGATTTAGGCATTTGTACTTGTATGTGTGTGTGTGTGTGTGTGACAAATGAACGATTTTAAAGTGAATTTAGTTAAAATTAAAACACGAGAAATATTTGAAGTAATAGTAGGTTAAGTATCTCTGTGTCATGTGGTTTTCTTTGTTTACCTTTAGTTAATTACCTAAACAGATGGACTATAGATGGCAAGTACACAAGTAAATAAAAGGTTATAACTCACTTGATATGACTGAAATTGCATCTTTTTACCCTTTCCACGTAAAACGCTAAGTTGGGTAAATGATAATTATTTAAATATCTGAGTAGACTAGATTTGAATAATGTCGGCGAATCTCCTTCGTGTGGCATTGATTCAGCCGGTAACTCCGGACAGGACGGACTGAACCATAATCTGTGAAATAAGAAATATGTGTGTTAAAAATAAAAACTGCCTCGTTGGCCGAGTGGTCGCAAGTGCGACTGCTGTACAAGGGGCATCGGGTTCGATTACCAGGTCGAGCGAAGTATTACTGGGTATAACTAAAATTGGTGGGTTACTCACGTGAATATACTGAGAAAAGCTCTACTACTTTCGAACCACAGAGGGGTTCTTGAGATCATGAGCAGCGTGCGCGGTCGCGGCGATGTCGCGCAGCGTACTGGTATAGTATATTCACGTGAGTAACCAGCGATTTTTAGTTAATTTAGTATGTCTCACGATAGTTATTATAAAATAATATGAAAGGATTTTTTTTAATCTCAGTAGTAGCACGGAGACTGGAATTGTGCCCGGTATATGGTAATAGACTCACCCCCTATTACATGGGACTCATAACATAAATAGTGAAAAGTTGGTGTTACATTGTACAGTGGCATTAAGTGCCGTAATGTGCACACCTGCCTACCCCTTCGGGATTTATTTTTATGTATAAACAATGTAAAATGTAATTTTAATATGGCTCACCCTTGCGTCCGATTCTCCCAGTCGTCCAGATACAGGTTGGCTGTAGATATCACAACTCGAAGTGACCCGTCCTCGTAGCACAGTATCATCATTTTACTGAAACATTCATTGTATATTTTTTATGGCATAAGCCGGTAAACGAGCAGACGGATCACCTGATGGTAAGCAATCGGCGTCGCCCATGGACACCTGGAACATCAGAGGCGTTTCAAGTGCGTTACCGGCCTTTTGGGGATTGGGCATTTGAGGATTGTTGGCGATTCAGGGATTGGTGAAGGGGGGAGGGGTAATTGCGTCTGTTATCGGTTGCCGGGCGATCACAATGGGAAGTCTCTTCTCACACGGAGAAGTAATGAATAAAAATATACTTACGTGTGGTGTTTCCCGAAGGGAGACGACATGGTGACTTGGTGAGCAGTCACCTGCGGTTTCTTCTGACTGATATTTTTTAATTCTGAGCATTCTTCTCCATATAAAATTGTTAGTTTTTTCTCGCTAAAATAGAAAGTAAATTATATTACCAATTACTCATATTATAAATGCGACAAAGGTATGTTTGTGTTTCTTTGTTAGTCAATTTGTCTGCACGGTTGGCTTGGATTCGATTCCCGCACGGAACAACACTTTGTGTGATCCACAGATTGTTGTTCCGTGTCTGTGAGTGATGTGTATGTGAACTTGTATGTTTGTAAACGAACACACGACACAGGAGAAGATTAGTGTTTTTTTAAAGGGGGGAAAATCATTGAATGCCTTCTCCCGCCTGGGTGAGGCGGGAGGGAGTGTCAAACTCTTACTGACTAAAAACCACCCCGTTCCTTCTCCTGCACGTCGAGCCGGAGCCCCGGTTACCTTTTACGTTCTCAACGGATCCGTTCAAACTCAAACTCAAAAGTAATTATTTTAATTAAACCATAATTTGGTACTTTTGAAACGTCAACAAAATAAATAATAGCCTGTCAGTCAGTCCGTCAGTGAAGCTAGGTGAAGCTAGGTGCTCATTCCAAAATGTAGATTTGAATGGAGATGAATGAGATAGAAACTCCATTCGTTCCTCTTTTTAAAAATAGTATGTATCGGCATCAGCCCTATTGGGCCGCCGTGGTGGTCTGATCAAGGAGCCCTTGAGGCGCGCGCGGTACATGACGCGCTCTAACGCTCCGGTCTGGTCCTGTGTAATAGGGGGGGATGCCTATTAAAATAGGTGCTTACCTATATCCAGCAAAGTAATATTGTGCCAATAGCCATCCTATTTCCACCATGAAGTTGATCTGTAGGGAGCATTTCAGCTCCCCTAAGCTCCTATCTAGGATTTCTGAAAAATAAACACGTCAAAGTCAAAATCATTTATTTCTATTAAGTGTGGGAGAGCCATGCTTCGGCACGAATAGGCCGGCTCGACCGGAGTGATACCACGGCCGAAAAGAAAACCGCCATGAACCAACGCTTTCGTTGAATTTCGTCGTGTGAGTGAGGTTACCGGAGGCCCAATTACTTCCCCAATCTCCCCAATCCCTGAATCCCCAACGATCCTCAAACTCCTAATCCCCAAAGGGCTAACGCACTTGTAACGCCTCTGGTGTTCCAGGTGTCTATGGGCGACGCCGATTGCTTACCATCAGGTAATCCGTCTGCTCATTTACCGGTTAATGCCATAAAAAAAATTAAACTTTCGTAAATTATTTCCTTTATTTATTTCTATACTTGATTTGTACATTTTTAAATATTTGATTATAAAAAAAAACATTTAAAAATATAAAAAGCAGTAGCCCACCAGTAACGGGAGAAATCCAAGCTACCGGTGGTCAGGGCTCCAGAGAAAGGAATTTCCGGACAATACGCGCCGTGTCCAGAAGTACTGCTTTCTGCATCAGGCCCTTGACCCAACCATCTAACGCTACCCTACTCAGATGTTTCATGTTGGTCGAGGCTTTTAGCAATGAGGCCATTGGCAGATACGACTATCGGCACAATGACTGCTGAATCCACATCCCACAAATCCACATCCCACATGTCGACAATCTCATGAGCTAAATCAAGATATTTAGTTGCTTTATCTGTTTCAGCTTTCACAAGATTCTCGTCATGTGGGATTGTTATATCAACTATCATTGTGCGACGGCTTGGTCGATCTATCACCACAATTTCAGGTTTATTTGCAACAATTGTCCTGTCTGTGATGATAGTTCGATCCCAATACAGTGTGACATCTCTATTTTCAAGAACTGGGTCAGGCAGATACTTATAATACGGCACTTCAGATTCTACAAGTTTATATTTCAAAGCAAGTTTATTATTTATTTTTTACTAGTTTCGTAAATTAATTATTATGTTTTGGCTTTCACATGTAACTGTTTGACGAGGAACTCGACTAGTTTCAAGCCAACTTAACTTTTACCCTCATATTGAAATTATAAATTACAAGCAAAGACCGACAAAGAACTAGACATTATGGTATGTAAGGGAATATTAAAATTACAATATGTATAAGAAATATATAATTTAAAATTTTTACGTAATCAAAGGGGGAGGGGGTAAGATCTTTGCTTACTTATGCTGACGAGGGGGATGGGGGGGGGGAAGATCTTTGCTTACTTTTGCTGACAAGGGGGATGGGGGTGGGGGGGGGTGTGAATCATTGTAAAAAATCTGCTTACGTAATATTTGAACGGGTCCTAAGAAGCATATAATTACATTACAGACTCACCCAAAAATGTTATAGAATACCGCTGATTGTGTGTTGTCTTTGAATCTTTAATAGTTGTATAGAACACGTAGTAAGGGCCGCTGGCGGTGTGTTTGGCAGCCATATTGCCTTTAGGGACAACCACAGATAAGAAATCTTCCGCACGACGCGTCGGAGGCACTATGGGACGATAGTCACTGTCTGGGAAAATAAAAAGAAACTATATATATAATTATATACTAGCGGACCCGACAGACGTTGTCCTGTAATAATAGGTATAGATAAATAACCTAGAAAACGACTGCAGCGCCATCTGCCGGGCTGATTTGTGAATCTAAACCATTCCCAGATCCCCTTGAACACATACAAAAAATTTCATCAAAATCGGTCCAGTCGTTTGAGAAAAGTTCAGTGACATACACTCTCACAGAAGAATTATATAAATTAAATAAAGATTTTTTAATACATAACATAACATTACGCCTTTTATCCCCGAAGGGGTAGGCAGCGGTGCACATTATGCCACTGTACAATGTAACACCCACTTTTCACCATCTATATATATAAAAGAAAGTCGTGTTAGTTACACTATTTATAACTCAAGAAAGGCTAAATAGATTTGGATCAAAAATGGTAGGGAGGTAGATTAGAACCAGGAGAGGGACATAGGATACTTTTCATATACTATTTTTTTTTTACTTTTTATCAACATAAATACATACCCGAACGGGAACGGGAAAAAACGAGATTACGCGTACGAAGTCGCGGGCAGAAGCTAGTTTATGATATGAGTCCCATGTAATGGTGAGCCTATTGCCATATACCGGGCACAATTCCAGACTCCGTGCTACTACTGAGAATTTTTTTTAAACTTAGTAATACTTTTCCCGACCCGGGAATCGAACCCGAGACCCCTTGCCCGGCAGTCGCACTTGCGACCACTCGGCCAACGAGGCAGTTTTTTTTAATATACAAAAATAAATATATAGATTCATTATATATTGAATCTATACATATGATTCAAATAAATATTGTACTAGCTTTTACCTGCTGCTTCGCTCGCGTCACAAAAGGATAAAAGTAGCCTATGTGACATATACCAATACATTCAGCGCCATCTATACTAATACTTTTGTTTTCCCTCGAGAATATCAAATTTTTCCGGGATAAAAGTACCCTATTATTTAATCCAGACTTCTAACTTTACATCTGCAAAAATTCAATGCAATTGGTTTAGTAGTTACGGCGTGAAGTCGGAACAAACAAACAAACAAACAAACTCACTTTCCGATTTATAATATTATAATTAATAATTATAATTATATAATTATAATATATAATATAATATAATAAGGATAGTAAGGATTGAACAGTCGAAATAATTTATTTTTGAATTAACTGTCAAACACCAAGCGGTCACCGGTGACCGCAACCTATTGTTCTTTAATTGTGTCTATAAAACCGGTACTCGACGAGTTAAGGTAAGTACTCATGTTTAACAATACAAAGATATAAGTTATATACCATACCTTTAACATGCTCCATACTGCTAGAAGCAGGCTTACTCCCTCTTTCTCTACTTCTAGAAGAGTTGTAACTTGACTCTCCACTTCTACTGCTAGACGCAGTAGGTTCTATACTCCTGCTCGAAGTAGAAGGAGTGTCCCTCTTCTCTTCTTTTTTAACTACATGGCTGTTCTGTGTGGCTCCTGCACTGTAAAAATTAGATTACACTGGTCAACAAAATTCAAACTTTTTCGTGCCACACGGACTTTTTTGATATTTTTTACTTTAGTTGGTGATTGTAAGAAAAGATAAACAGTTAAAAAAAATTTGCTAGCCAAGGATTTTATTCTATTGAGTAATTAAAAATATTAAGAAAAAATACAGATCTCGTAAATCAAACTTTTTTTTTATATAAATTACTTAATAATTTAAGATTTTCTTGAATGTTTAGCTTCTGGTTGGTCCATTTTAATTGTCCAGCAGTAATCCGCTAACATATTTGGGCTCCATTTTCCCTAGTACCGCTTTTCCATACTAGAAATGTCCTGGTGGAACCTCTCGCCGTGCTCGTCACTGACAGCCCCTAAATTGTCAGGAAAAAAATCCAGGTGCGAGTCTAAAAAATGGATCTTGAGTGACATGTTGCAACCCAATGCTTGATATGACAATAAGAGCTCGCTAACCAACTCTCTGTAGATGTCACTCTTGTGGTTGCCCAAAAAATTTGCAACAACATTTTTAAATGCGTTCCATGCACATTTTTCTAAACCGCTTAATTTTCTTCAAATGTTGAATCTTTTATTAACTGATTTGAGGGCCAAAAAAATACCCTCTTTTATTTTTGCATCACTTATTTTAGGGAATTTTTCTTTTAGGTACAAAAGTCCACTCCCACTGCGATCCATTCCCTTCACAAATTTTTTTAATCCTAATTTGATATGCAATGGTGGTAAAAGCATTATTTGGCTCTACAAGGGGTAAATACTTTACATTTTTTTGGCAGGAACTAACGATGCACGCATAGGCCATGTTTTTTTTATATAGTGATTAGTTCTGTCTCGGCTATCCCATTCACATAAAAAACAGCAAAATTTTGTATAACCCAGCTGAAGTCCAAGTAATAATGCAACAACTTTAAGATTACCGCAGATTTTGAAGGAATATGTACTGTAATTTATTTTTTCAAGTAAAACTTTCATATTTTCATAGGTTTCTTTCATATTTGAAGCATGGGCCACAGGAACAGACGGAAGCATATTTCCATTATGCAATAAAACTGCTTTTAGACTTGCCTTCGAAGAATCAATAAATAAACGCCACTGAGAGATTTCAAAATCTATGTCCAACATTTTCATGATCTCATTTATGTTATTGCAAAACACCAAATCTCCATCCTGAGAAAAATACGTTCTGAAGTGTTCATCACGGTTTCGAAAATAGCTAACTTTTGTATTATGATGTAGCAAATTCCATTCTTTTAGCCGAGATCCTAATAGTTCCGACTGCTTTTTTGACAAATTTAAATCCCTAACCAAATCATTTAGGTCTCCTTGAGTTATCAAATGTGGCTCCTTTTCAATTCCTTCAAACTCAAAGTCATCATTCTCGTCAAAAGACCGACTTGAAGTAGACGGTTGTGAATGGTCGTTATCAACAGACGTTGTTGCAACTGGTATTAGTTCTGGCATTTTTTTACAATGAGAGACTGGTCTTATAGCAGAAGATACGTTAGGGTAGATAACTGTTTTTTTTTTCTTGTAATTTATACCTTTTAAGTCAGTGAGACAAAAATAGCAATCCGAAACGTGATCTCGCTGTTCAGTCCATATCATGGGTACAGCAAAAGGCATAGCTCGTGCACCTTTCTTCCAGTCGGTTAAATTTTTCACACACGTTATGCAACAGACATGAGGGGCCCAGAATTTGTCTTGATGGGCGACAGAAAAACCAAAACATTGGTGATAACACTCCAGCACAAGATTCGTAAAATTTCGTCGTTGTTTTTTAAATGTAAGTTCTCCGCAGATATAACAAAAAGAGTTAGGGTTATTTTTACACTTCCTCGACATGTTCACAGGATTAATAAATCACAAAAAATATTCAAATTCAACTACAAATACTTTTATGACGATTTACTTGTGAGCATTTCTGTTAATTTACCGCCGTAGTAAGGTAGAAGTACGTATTCCCGTTAGTGTCCCAGTTCCCGTTAACTAGTCAGTTTTTAATTTTTTACGTCTTTCAACCAAAATCAAATTAGAGTTTGTAAATGCCAATTTATTCTTGGTACTATTTTAAACAATTTTAATAGCAACGTTCACCAAAAAGTTTAATGGCGTCAAAACTGTGCAAACTTAAAAATACGTTATAATGAAATTGTCTGTAAGTTCAAAGTTCTGTCAGTGAACTACGAGACCACCCCGTTGCAGAAATCATCTAGCCATACTTCGACGGATAAAATTAAGGTAAGAGTGTTAATGTTTATAAAAAGTTTTGTGTATTATTTAACGATTTAACCTATAAATTAAGGTAAATCTCATTGAAACGTAAAAGTTTTTGCATGTTACATTTATTGGTACTCACAAACCCCTACTTGCCCTAGTGCCCGGTAAATTCGTTTATTTTTTTACCGGTTACTGGTACACTATCAACCCGGTAACATACGTTGCACCGAAACCCGGTATTGTATCCTTATTGCTTTGAAATAGGTCTCATATTCCTTTGAAATTTTAGTTTTTATTAAATATTTTCTGCTGGATACTAGTACATGCATTAACAGTTGCATTTAAATCCGTCATGGTCCTTAATGCCTTAAGACAAGTATTATTTTCCGATAACTCGATAGAATGTAATTAGTAGGCATCTTATTTGTTTTGTTACCACGTGCATTTGGTTGGTTTTTTCTGAATGATTTCCTTGTATAGTTTGCGTTACAGCTTTGCTGCTCTAAAACCAGTTTTTTTATTTATGGGGCGCAGTTTCAGTATATTAATAGGAATATTGACAACTGGGCAACATTAAAAAAAATTATTTCGGAAGACAATCGCAATGGTAATTCAATTATTTAAACATGGTTTTAGAGTTCAACAGAACAGTGGCCCTGTATTTTGTCATGCAAAGTTCACCGTTTTATAGTACTCCTTGACAGTAGTTGAAATTATAGCAAGGGCGAAAAAGCTCTAGTTATTTCATTTACTTGAATATTGTAATAAATTAATTATGCTTTGCAGTTGGAGTCTTGACAAATGGTAACTTGTGTGTAATTTTCAGTACCTACACGTTTTGTCATCGTTGATAAAATTTGTTAGATAAATATGTCTCATTATTTGGAACTCCACCTGTCGACATTTTCATACGCCACTACTTTTCCATATTTCTTGTATGACTTTCACTTTCATTCATAAGTCACTAAACTTACGTGTCTTCAGATTTGGGTGCAAGATGTCAGTCAGACCTGTGAAGTTATCCAGGTGACAAAAAATCATTGATAGGAACTAAAAATTGTCTCAAAGTCGTTGAGCCATAATTGAAACTGACTAAAGGTAAATTAATTTGGTAAAAACCTTGAATAATTTTTCATGGGATCTATACCTTTCCAAGTTGGACTTCTGGTGTCCGTAAAAAGCTTCGAGCTGCTTGCTTGCCTGAGTTGTCTTATAATAAAGTACTCCGGATTTCTTGAACTAACGCATGGGTTTGTGTTTAATTTTGGGCCAATTGTCGGCTTGCTTCTGTGTGCTGCTGTATGATTACTTTAAACCAGTGACAACCTGGTCTGTCAGGGTTTTATTGCTTTATTTTTAACACCATGCAACATCTGCGCTTTAGTTACAGGAAATGGCTACTGCTTGGCATCAGCTAAAATTGAGGAAAGCGAGAAAAAGCTCGGTGCTCCTGATTTTACAATAATTGAATTACCTCACATTTTTTAATAAATATGTATGAAAGTTCGTATTTTTACTATTTTGCTAATTTCTGCAAAAAAACGTATTAATTTTCTTTCAGGTAGCCATGACTAAGAAACAAAAGGCCATATTAAAGGCCATGGACGCGCAGTTAGAAAAGGAGCCTCAATTTCAGCTTCCACGGTCATCGTTGGACGACAAAATACGCAGCCGCTATTCTATTGAATATTCCAAACTCATATCATAATGATATAACTTAATGTCCAAAAAATTGTGAATTAGGTACCTATTAAGGTTTTAATCAATAATTTTGTATGGAACTTATGGCACCGACTTCTTACCTATCAGTGGGTGGGTAACCTATCAATACTAATAATCGTTATTTTTTGCTTTTTAGTTTTGACTTTTTGTTTGTTATTAGTTTTTGGTTTTTTGAAGTCGGTTTTTTAAACGCAATTTTTATATCAAAAGAAGAAGAAGATCATTTGAGTAGATGGATAATTCTTATGGCAGGTAGTGGATTTCCTGTTACTAAGGCGCAGTTGTTAGATAGCGTATTTTATAAAACATTGAAGCGAAAAAACCCTTTTAAAAATGGCAGACCAGGTCGTCACTGGTTTGAAGCCTTATTATAAAGCGACACCCTGAAGTAGGCCAGCGAGTAGCCCAAAATCTAATGCAAACCCGTGATTTAGTTCAAGAAAGCAGTTTAAGATCGTGGTATAAAGAAGTGGAAGACTATTTTATTATGGCACACCTTGAGGAAGCCATTAATTCTATTTTAAAATGTAAAAATTTAAGTTAGTGATGTTTTTTTACCAAAGGTTAGGTACTGAAGATGCCATTAAAATATGTTACTAGTGTTAACCAATAATTTATGTAATTTTTTAATTAAAAAAATTAAAACAATTCATGCCTTTTTTGTTAAATACAGACCCTGATTGTTTTCACTACTATTTTTATTTAAAAATATTTTATTTCTGTGAACTTTAACGTAAAGCTATAGAGTTCAAATTTGCACTTAAAATTGCCGGATTTCGGGACAATAAAACGGTAACTAGTACAATTCTACCGGATACTGGTACAGTTAGCCCATTTTGTATTTTTTTTGTTTTATTGTTAATTAACATTTCCATAAGTTTATTAGAATTATAATATATTAAAAGTATACTAAATTATCTAACTAGTCGTATAAAATTTATTTTCATAAGTCTACTTGTTTCAGCCTAGCGCGCATGCAAAGTCAGGGAAGTTCAAAACTTCACGGTTACTGGGCCGTTTACCTTACTAGTTATGAGTATTA